ACCAGCCTCCTCCCTTGCACTTGCCCCTGCCCTTGCCGCCCTTGAAGTCTCCAGCACCCGAGCCTTTGCCTCCGCCTCCTCCGAGGCCTCCATTCGGCGCGGGAGGTTGGGGGCCAGGCGGGAGCGCAGGAAGAGCTCCGCGACCAGCCCAAACGCCAGCAGGAGGGCGAGCAAGAGAGGTCGTGGGAGCCGTCCATGTTGAGCCGCAATGCTTGCACCACGGAGTGGATATCTTGTTCCTCCTGCAGCCACATGCGCTGCCCTTCCATGTAGTAACGCGCTGGAGCGGGCGGCCCGTGCGCCATGGGGGCGTCTCGCCCTCTGTCGGGTAGCCATCCATCCGCGCGCTGAGGGACGAGGTCCCTCGAGGTGCAATTTCAATCCGCCGTGTGTACCCACTGTGCTGGCCCCCCCAGCAGGCCTCGAAAGTGGCGACCGTTTCACAAATCGCAGCCCCCCAGGGATGGCGAGGTGCAGTTTCAATCCGCCGTGTGTACCCACTGCGCTGGGCCCCCCAGCAGGCCTCGAAAGTGGCGACAGTTTCACAGATCGCAGCCCCCCCAAGGACGGCGAGGTGCAATTTCAACCCGCCGTGTGTACCCACTGTGCTGGCCCCCCCAGCAGGCCTCGAAAGTGGCGACAATTCCATAGATCGCAGCCCCCCAGGGATTGCGAGGTGCAATTTCAATCCGCCGTGTGTACCCACTTCGCTGGGCCACCCAGCAGGCCTCGAAAGTGGCGACAGTTTCACAGATCGCAGCCCCCCCAAGGATGGCGAGGTGCATTTTCAATCCGCCGTGTGTACCCACTGTGCTGGGCCCCCCAGCAGGCCTCGAAAGTGGCGACCGTTTCACAGATCGCAGCCCCCCAGGGATGGCGAGGTGCAGTTTCAATCCGCCGTGTGTACCCACTGTGCTGGGCCCCCCAGCAGGCCTCGAAAGTGGCGACAGTTTCACAGATCGCAGCCCCCCAGGGATGGCGAGGTCCAATTTCAATCCGCCGTGTGTACCCACTGTGCTGGGCCCCCCAGCAGGCCTCGAAAGTGGCGACAGTTTCACAGATCGCAGCCCCCCAGGGATGGCGAGGTGCAATTTCAATCCGCCGTGTGTACCCACTGTGCTGGGCCCCCCAGCAGGCCTCGAAAGTGGCGACAGTTTCACAGATCGCAGCCCCCCAGGGATGGCGAGGTGCAATTTCAATCCGCCGTGTGTACCCACTGTGCTGGGCCCCCCAGCAGGCCTCGAAAGTGGCGACAGTTTTCGCAGCTGGCCCAGGGATTTCACAGATCGCAGAGGGATGGCGAGGTAATTTCAATCCGCCGGTGTACCCACTGTGCTGGGCCCCCCAGCAGGCCTCGAAAGTGGCGACAGTTTCACAGATCGCAGCCCCCCAGGATGGCGAGGTGCCAATCCGCCCCACTGTGCTGGGCCCCCCAGCAGGCCTCGAAAGTGGCGACAGTTTCACAGATCGCAGCCCCCCAGGGATGGCGAGGTACAATTTCAATCCGCCGTGTGTACCCACTGTGCTGGGCCCCCCAGCAGGCCTCGAAAGTGGCGACAGGTTCACAGATCGCAGCCCCCCAGGGACGGCGAGGTGCAATTTCAATCCGCCGTGTGTACCCATTGTGTTGGGCCCCCCTGCCGGCCTCGAAAGAGGCGACAGTTTCACAGATCGCAGCCCCCCAGGGATGGCGAGGTGCAATTTCAATCCGCCGTGTGTACCCACTGTGCCGGGCCCCCCAGCAGGCCTCGAAAGTGGCGACAGTTTCGCAGATCGCAGCCCCCCAGCTGGCACGCAGCGACGAGCGAAGGCAGGGGGGAAGAGAGGGACGGGGGGGGGCGGGAAGGAAGGAAGGAAGTAAGGAAGGTGACGCGCGAGCAGTGCTCTATTCAAAACGAGAACCCAACGCAGGAGGGTTGGGAAAAATGACTCAACACATGCAAACAGATTCTGAAAAAAACGTCCCCTGACTGTATTTCGGCTACTTTTTAACACTCCTGAACACTGGGCGCCCGCGGGCGGAGACATTGTGATCGCCAACGCGCGCTTGCCCACCGAAGTCTTCCTCAAAACAGTGCAGCCGATGTGGGAGGGCCGAACGGAACAAACACACTCGGCCAACACATGTGTCCGGGATATCGTCGGGCAGCGCTAGGGGCCTGCGCCACTTAGGCTTCGCCGGCTCCAGAAAGCCTCGACCCAACGATGCTAACGTCCTGTTCTGCTTCCGCCGCCCTCCGCCGATCTTCCACGGGCGGAGCCGCCCTCGTTTTGCATCCGCCGCCTTCAGCCGAGGGAGAGGTGTCAACTTCTCGACGCCTCGAAGAGGAGGGGGTCCTTTTCTGGACCAGCCCACACGGTGAAGAAGGGTCCTGGTCCGAAGAGGAAGCGCCAGAAGACCCCATCGAAAAGTCGAAACAGGGCTGCGTGGAGAGGTGCGCGCTCCATAGAGCGGACGCGCCTTCAGCGAGTGAGCGGGGCCGCGCGATTGTGTTGCTTCGCGAGAACACGCGGATGTTATTTTTTTCCCCCCCCCGGAGCCAGGGGCTAGGGTGCAGACGGAAGCGGCCAGGCAGGAGACAGCGGTCTCGGTGGCGCTGCGTTGGGTTGGGATCGCCCTGTCTCGGGTTGATGAAGTCTCTTTGGTGTCTCTGCTGCCCCTCTGGTCTAGCGGCACACGTCAATCAAACAAGGTTTCTCCTCCTTCTCCTCCTATCCTCCTCTTCCTATCCTCCTCCTCCTCCTCCTCCTATCCTCCTCCTCCTCCTCCTCCTCCTCCTCCTCCTCCTCCTCTCCTCCTCCCCCTCCTCCTCCTGCTCCTCCTCCTCTTCCTGTCCTCCTCCTCCTCCTCTTCCTGCGCCTCCCTTCTCCCCGATCTCCCTTCTCGTCCTCCTCGTCTTTCTTGCCCTCCTTGTCGTCGTCCTCCTCCTGCTCTCGCCCTTCTCCTACCTCCCTCCTACTGTTCGTGCTCTTCCTCCTCCTCCTCCTCCTCCTCCTCCTCCTCCTCGTTCTCTTCCCTCTCCGTCCATTAAATTCCCCCTGCATTCACGTCCTCCTTCCCCTCCCTATCTATCTTACCCTCCTCTTCCCCCCTTCCCCCTTCTCCTCGTCCTCTCTCCTCTTTCTCCTCCTTCTCTTTCTCCTTCTCCACCCACCTTCCTCGCCGTCGACCTCGTCATCGTACTCCTCTATTTCCGCCGCTGCCGCCGCCTCCCCCCTCCTCCTCCTCCTCCTCTCCTCCTCCTCCTCCTCACCCTCCCCCTCCTCCTCCTCCTCCTCCTCCTCCTCCTCCTCCTTCACCCCTTCTGCTGCTGCTGCGCCGCCAAAACATTTGCCTCCCCTCCGCACGCGCGGATCGGGAGGCCAGACTGTTGGCCAACATGGGCACTTGTTGGCGCACCTCCGACCACGCCGCCCACAGCGCAGCATCAACCGTCGACCACGCCGCCCACATCGCCTCCCTGCGCAAGCCAGTGCCGCCGAGGAATCCTGAGAACCGGATCTAGGGGAAGGATCGTCACTGAGCTGCCGCCCAAGGTCTGCGTCCTGCACGACCTACACCGCCGCTTTCTACAGTAGGCCTGGCCACGGCGTTCAGCCCCGAATGTGGCGCAAAGCGCGCGTCGCAAAAAAGGGCTGAGCCACGCGAGATGCACCTGACTAATTGGTGGTGGGCTGCGCCAACGAGCTCTGGTGCACGGCGCACTCCTCCTGGCCCAGTGTATGGCCTCTCTAGCGCTGGAACGGCTGGTCCCAGCGTGTCGCCCTGCATGCCCACCTCTGTCGCGAGCTCTCCCCCTCTGCGGCCCCTCTCGAGGATCTCCGGGCTGCCACGGGTATGTACGCGGGGGGAAGGAGGCGAGCTGTCGAAGCTGCTCTGGCAGCTCGCCGTCGCCGTGGTGGCCACACCGGGGGACCCTTACTTTGTGTATTCGTGGCCCCCGACGCGGTGGCCGCTGGCTGCCGGCGCCTCCTGGAGACTGGGCCGACGAGCCACCAACGCCCTGGCCATGGTGGAGAGGTATTTACCATCCTGGCAGCAGGCGCGGCACCAGGTGCCCTGGCCGATCTGCGGGGCACGCCCCGAGCGCTCCTCGAGCCCGACCGCGAAGGTAAGCTGCCCGAGCCCCGCTCCCTGCCAGCCACCCCGGCTGGCCAACGACTCGCGCCCTCGGCCGTCGGCACGCTGCCGCGCAGCCGCCTGCCCGAACCTCGCACCCGTGCGGCCGCCGGCGCAGCGACCTCTCTCCGGCAGCCGGCGCCGCGGCAGGCCCCCCGGGGCGGCTGGCCCCCGACGCCCTGCCGTGCGCACTCTCGGAGCCAACGCTCGCGAGGGCGTCCGTCCTGGCCCAGCACTGCAACCCCCCTCTGCACAACCCCCCAGCACAACCCCCCAGCGCAACCCCCAGCCAGCACAACCCCCTGGCACAACCCCCCCAGCACAGCACAGCCCCCTCCCTCTGCACAATCCCCCTCCGCACAATCGCCCAGCAGAAAACCCCCCACCACAGCCCCTGACCACCGCCCCCGTCCTCGTCGTCTCTCCCCTCGGCGCCGGGGCCCAGGCTTGTGACCCAGCCTCGCGTCAGTCGGGTGAGCACATTGAGGGCCCCTGCCAGGCGTGCGGGCCCCGGCGGGCGCAGATCTCCAGGGCGCGGAGCACTGCGCCGCCGTGTGCTCGTCGACGCGGGCGCCATCGGTGAGCCTCGGCAGGGCCTCGGCGCAGGCGACGGTGCGGAGCGCACGTTCCATGGACCTTCCGTGCACTGCCTCCTCCGCGTCTTCCCTCTCCTCCTCCTTCTCCTCCTTCTCCTCCTCCTCCTTCTCCCTCCTCCTGCTCCTTCCCCTCCTCCTCCCTCCCCTGCCCCTCTCCCTCCTCCCCCTCTTCCTCCAGTCAGTTTTCTTTTTGTCCTCCTCCTCCTCTCCATCTCCCCCCCCCTCTTCCTCTCTTCGCCGTGTGCCTGTTCCTCCTCCTCCTGGAGCGGCCGTGGTCGCGCCGCCTCCGCGCGACGCAGATCGCCACGCCGCAGCGGAGCAGCGAGCGCCTGAGACGACGACGGCGACGGCGACGGCGACGACGAAAACGAAGACGTCGTCGGCGGCGGCGGCGGCGGCGAGGAGACCCTTGGGGGAAGGGGAGGAGGCTGGGATGCCTCGCCTCGAAGCTTCTGGAGGTCTCCGCAAGCCCCAGGAGGCCCTCGCGAAAGCTCCCTGGAGTTTTCCGGGAGTCTCTGGACGAAGACGTGCGACGACGTGTTCGTTTTTCCTAAACGCGGCCCCCGGAAGGTCCCGATTCCTCCCCCAGGCCCGCAGGCTAGTCTTTCGCCCCACGGAGCCGTTTTTGATGGCCCAGGAGAAAGGCTCTAATCGGGGATGGACAGGACCCCCTTTAACAGAACGTGGTTTCGTGAAAACGACCTCGGGCCCAAACCCGGCGGGCGCAAGCTTGGAACATGACGGCCTCGGCGCCCTCTCGAGAACCGAAAACGGACAATTCACTACTCGGCGTGTCAGGGTGAGGGTTCTGTCCCCCCCCGGTATTGGGCAAGCCCCGAGGCCGAGAAGATTGCCTCACGAGCGCCGAGTGCGGCCGAGAAGGCGACCACACGGCCGAGCAGGGGGGTGAGGAGGAGGGGGAGGGGGAGGAAGAGGAGGATGATGAGGAGGAGGCGGCAGGAGGAGGAGGAGGAGGAGGAGGAGGAGGAGGCAGGAGGAGGAGGAGGAGGGGGATAAGGAGGGATCTGCGATCGGGAGTTCTGTCCACCCCCAATCTATGAGGGATCCTCGGGGTTTGTTCTGGGGGGCTCGGAGATCCTGCGGGGTTCCCGGAGGCGTGGAGGGGCAGCAGCACGGATCTCCACGTGCTTCTCTCCCTCCCCCTACGACTCTGCACTGGAGGCTGCGACGAGGGCACCTGGCAGGCGTCCTTACCCTCATCGTTCTCCCTTGTTGTCTCCCCTGCTCCTCCTCCTCCTCCTCCTTCTTCGCGTCTTTTCCTCCTGCCCCGTTCTCTTCCACTACTTTTCGCCATCCTGACCCATCCCCAGTTCAATAACTAGACGACCACCCTTCTGGTGATAAGGAGGTTGTGCGGTGGAGAGGAACCAACAGATGACAACCGCGATGGGACACCATCGGGACACCCTGGGGACAAATTGATGCCAGCATCGGGACACCATCGGGACACCAATGTGGTCCATCCGTCCACTATTTGTCTATCCATTTCACGATCGGCCTCACTATATAAGTCTCGCTATCGATCTCACTATCAATATCACTATCGATATTAATCTATGTTCATCGATACCACTATTGATATCACGTCCTTTTTGTCGGCCTCATAATCGGTCCCACTACCGGTCTATCGGTGTCACGATCGAACGCACTATCTCACGATCGGTCTCAGTATCTGTTTATCGACCTCACTATTTATCTCACCATCGGTGACCTGATCAATCTCTCAGTCTCTCCATCGATCGGTCCAAGTAATATCAATCTCACATTCGATTCCACCATCTTTCTACAGATCTGACTATCGATCGGTTTCACTGTCCATCGATCTCTCTATCTATGCATGTATCTATCGATCCCACGGGGAACCATTTGTGCACGATCGGGACACCATCGGGGCACTATGGGGAAACTATCAGGACACCATCGGGACACCACTGTGACACGCTTGGGACACCATCGGGACACCATCAGGAAACCATTGAGCACCATCGGGACACCAGTGGGACACCATCGGGACACCCTCGGGACACCATCGGAACACCATCGGGACACCACCTGGACACCACTGGGACACCCTTAGGGCACCATAAAAACACCATCGGAACACCATCGGGACACCATCGGGACACCATTAGGATGCCATCGGGGCACCAGCGGTACACCGCGGGACACCACGGGACCCCCCGGGACACCATCGGGACGGCATTGGGACACCACGGCGGGACACCCCCGACCAACGCCAGCAACCTGGGGGCGAAGCGGTCTTTTGGCCCAGCGGCGCCCTAGCCAGAGGAGGGTTCGTTCCCCTCGCCCGCCCGCGCAGCGTCGCCTCGCCCGCACGCGCGACATGAACGCGAAACAGAAACCGATTTCCCGTAAATGGGGGTCCCCGTTTCACTTCGATATCACCCCCCAACCTCCGATCCTTCTTCCTCTTTTTCTCTCTTCCGTCTTTCCTTCCTCCGCCTTCTCCTTTTCTGTCTTGCTTTCTCCATGCCCCCCTCCTCCCCCGGCTTCTCCTGCTCCTCCTCCTCGCTATTGTTCGCGTCCGCATTCTCGCCCATACCCTCCTCATCGAAGTCCTCTTCCCTTTCATCCTCTTATTCCTCCTTGTTATCATGCTTCTCCTTCTTCTCCTCCTCCTCCTCCGTCGCTTTCTTTGGCTCCTCCTACTCTGGATCTCATAAAACTGGGGGGATCTACTATTGTTGGGGTCTCAAGGGGCTCGTCAAACAAGACGGTTTGGGTGTCTCGAAGCTGGACCCGTTGTTGCCCCGCTCGTGGGGTGGGGGAGGGGGCAGACGCGCTGTCAAACGCTTTTTTCACACGCCCCCCCCGCTAGGTATTGCTAGATTTGGAATCATTTCCCCCATCATCCTCGTCTTCCTTATCATCACCAGTCGCCTCTTCCTCTCTGCACTGCTCCTTCCTCCTCGCCCCCTCTCTCCTCCTTCTCTTTCTCGTGCTCACCATCGATTTGAACATCTCATCGCGATTGCTGCCATTACTGTTGGCATTGCTGCCGAATCAGATTGCCCTTGCCAACGCCAGTGTAACTGCTATTGCAGTCACTTTTGCCCCTCGCCGTCATCACCATTGACATCATCATCATCATCATCATCATCATCATCATCATCATCATCATCATCATCATCATCGTCACCAACACCAGCAGCATAAGCATCATGAGCCTCGACATTACCATCAATCTCAGCATCGCCACCACTATCACCATCACCACCACCACAACAATCATCCTCATTGTACTCATCATACTCATCATAGTCAGACTGATCAGCATCAGCATCAACATCATTTTCACCATCACCATCATCAACATCGTCAGGGGATGGGCGTCCAATAGCGTCCGACGTGAGACTGCTGCGCCTGCCAGGTCGATTTTCGGCAACGGGTGCACAGGGCCAAAATCAGGAGCACGTGGGCTCGTGGTTGAGCCAGCGAAGCATCTGCCAATCAGCACGTAACGCGAGGGCTACGGGCAATTGTGGGACAAGGTCGAACCGAAAAGATGCCCCGCGGCCAAGACGCAGCGGGCCGAATCAAACAAGGTGGCCAAGGCGCAGGACCGGAGCCGGGCACCAATGGGGACAAGGCCGAAGAAAGAGTAGGGCCGACACAAGTGAATCCTCGGCGTGCCAGGCTCGACGGGATCCCCGTGCAACTCCACTCCGCTGGACCTCCCATGAGCCCACGAAAGTGGCGACAATCTCAGACTTCGCAGCCCCCCAAGGTGCCGCGAGGTCTCAACTGGATCAATCCACTCCGCGCGACCTCACAGGAGCCCACGACAGCGACGGCAGTTACGCACAGAGAAGGAAGAGGAGGCAGGCGGCAGGAAGTAGGCAGTAGGAGGCAGGAGGGGGAGGCGGGATGAGGAGTGGAGGCCACAGTGCGCTATTCAAAACGAGAGCCCCATGCAGGAGGGTTGGGAACAAGACATCATCGGAGATCTGGGGAACGAGGCGCGCGTGGCGTGGCAGACGGGAGCGGTCTGCGGGGCTGCTGGTGCCCATCCGGCGTCGGGGCCCTGGGCGCCACATTGGCGGCGACAAGACGCGGCGCGAGGGGGCTGCTCCGAGGCACAATCCCTCAAGGCTCGAAGTCGTTGGGATTCGTTGGGCGTCCTTGGGGGCCCCTGGAACCGGAAGTCCGAAGCCGCCGTGGACGTTGGAAGTCATTCCTTATATTTCCAGAATTTCATTAACAGCTCACGACTGTCTGGAGCTGCAGGCGGCGCCGCCGTCCCGCCGCAGCTCTGCTTATCCTCGGTCTTCGCGGCCTTCTCCAACCTCGCCTTGGAGCTCTTGCGCCGTCTTGTGCCAGCGCCAGGCCACCAGTCCGTCGTTGCTCTGAGCGACTTGTGGGCATGACTCGATGCTTGCCCTGATGGCCACCCTTCGCACTCGCTCTCTTTCTTGTAGCTGCGGTGCTTCTCCACTGAGGCCCCGCGGCTCCAGCAGTAGTGTCTTCCTTTGTGCCTCGACCAGCAGATCTTGTGCGACGGGTGGGAGATTTTGCCTGTGCGGACTAGGGCACTTTCATATCCTTCTTGGTGTTCAGCATGGCCGTCTGCTCCTCCTTTGCATCTCATGAGCCTCCATCTTGACGACGCCCTTGACCGCTGGGGCCTCCCAATCGACTCTCTGTCCCGTGTGCGCCACCATGTCCTCCCTTCATGTTTCTGCAAGTGCGGGGTGTTGGCCTGCGTGTTCATGAAGGATTCGAGCTCTGGTTGCGCCTGCGTCCTCCTGACTTTCGCCTCGGCATTCTCCTCCCATGCCGTGTCCATGTAGGTTCTGCCGCTGCATTTTCTTACCCTGTGCGCTGTCGCCCTGGCCCAGTCCTAGCAGTCCATCTGCGCCCTCGGGATCTCGTGCGTTGTCGTCGCCTTACCTTCAAAGGTGATCGCCTTCTGGCCGCCTCTCCGTGCTTCTCGCGGTACCCCTCGATTCTGTGCCTGCTCGATCGTCTTGTGGTTCTCTATTTGTCGTGCTCTCGCCTCGGCATCTCTCCGCGACTCCAGTCGCTGTCTTATTCCCTTCCAGAGTATGCCTCCTGCTGTACCGGCCCTTGCAGAGGCTGTCCGCGTCTGCGTCGAAGACCAGGTCGCCTTCCGCCGCCTGCAGGCAGTCCGCGAGCGCCTCGATCTCCGTCCCGTTGTTGGGTTGGCGAGCTCCTGGAAGCTGACCATGCACAATTGCCGCCTCTTGCCAGATCTCCCCGTTGCTCTGCATGATTGTTCAGCCCCAGCCGCGTCTCCTGTACCTTGCGTCGCCTCCGTGTTCGCCTC